TGACTATTTGAAAGGCACTGTATGACATTCAAGCAAACCATAGATCTCATTATTTTTTTGAGTAAAAGAGTGAGTGAACAGATTTTTCTACTTCAGATCTGCTTTCCCCAATTTTTCTGTGACCTAAATCATAACAGAGCGTTTATCAGGTGATGCGCTATTATCGGAACAAAAGCAGGCAAGGAAACCAAGCTGTTAGCATGGAGCTGTATGCTCCCACTTGTGATGTTGTCTCCCACTGAAGAGTTTTCCAAGGGCTTTGGGATGCCAGTGCCGCTGGCAGACATCTGCCATGATGGCAGGGAATCCTCTCCTGTAAGATCACAGAAGAGTTGCATTGCTTCCAGAAATGAATCCATTAGGTCCTGTTAGTGATTAGTGTGAGTCACCATAATGACCAAAGGTACTCCGTGTAATTCAGCTGGAAGGGCCTCTGAGGTGAAAGGTGTTAGATACCCCGTGGCCAAGATGCAGGGACCTTCTTAGTGGATGTGGCAGCAAATCTGGACACTGAATCTCACCTGCACGTGAGCAAATGCCACTGGGAAAACTTTCCCATCCTTTCTATTGAAAACACGTTTGAAAACATCATTTTAATTGTTGAGGTGAAGGGAAATTGAGGATTAAATTCCTGATTTGTTTCAATTCACATTATTTAGATGTCCAAGATGTTTTGTTTGTAATTGTTATTGTGCTGATCTTATGCTTTAAGTGTCACTATACCTTACTACAGCGTGACTAGAAAATAAGACTTATGAGGAGCAGCTGAGGGAACAGGAAATTGCTCTGAGGCAGAGGGGAGGAGACCTTATTGTTGTTTATAACAACCCAAGAGGAGGCTGCAGTGAAGAGGTGTTGGTCTTTTTCTCAGGCGGCAAAAATTAGGACATGATGAAATGGTTTCAAGCTATGCCAGGAGGTTTAGATTGGATTCCAGGAGCAACTTCTTCCTGGGTAAGGTAGTCAAGCATTGGAACAAGCTGCTTGGGAAAGTGATGGAATTTATTGATGGGACTGTAGGTCAGGTGGAGGGTCGCACTTGATGATCTTGAAGGTTTTTTCCAACCTACGTGACTGCGATTGTATGATAAGCTATGTGATAAAGGGCCAACGTGACTGCAAAATGCGAGCTTATGGTTTGTGATTAGAAAAAGAACACAACAAAAACACCTGCTTAACCTGTTAGCTAGATGTTGAATTAGGGCAATAGGACAGTTTCTAGAAATGCTTGTCACCCTCTCGGTGTGCCTGTAACAAAAAACAGCAATTATATCTCAGTCACTCCATGGAAACGAGCTTGGTTTCACAGCGAGGCAGCTGGGAAAGTAAGATTCTCTCCATTAAAGGAAGGCGGCGAATGAAATTCTATTGCTGTTAGTAATAAAGAATTTTAAAATGTTTGACAAATTTGTAAGCTAATCATGTAGCTGACTTGATGATTGGCTTCCGTGAAACTTCTGTGGCAATTCGAAGAAGTTATTTTGTTTTTTATGCATTAAAAAAAAAAACAACCTCAGATGAATTATTTGAGATTCTCTTTACATCATCAAGACATCAAAGTGCCAGCTTCCTCACAGGTTGTTAAATACACTTATTTATAGATACTGCTCATTTTCTTTAGAGATTTGTTCTTCTTTGCAACTATGTGTAGTGTCTTCAATCCCTGTGTTTCGCTCAGGCATTTTTTTTGTCAAAGAGGTTGAATAAAATGACACAAATCCTGCTGGGCAGCTGATACCATCAGAATATCAGCTGTTAAGAAGCCTCCCATGGTTTCAGCAAGCCTCATTTGTCAAGCAAAGAGATCAAAGTCCAATTTTGGAAATTCTTTTCATATCACTCAAGCTGATATACTTCCCACTGCATTGCAAGGGTTTGCCTGAAATTAAAGTGAGGCTGTCTATTCAGTCTTCCCCAAACTGTTCATGTAATAGCCATCTACTGCTAGAGCAAGGTTCATAGCTTTTTGACAGAAGTGCTTGTGAAGTCTGCATCTGACAACGGTGATGATAGTAACAGTATGACTAGAAAAGTACAGAAGAAAATAGTACTTAACATCAAATGGGCTTACATTGCAAGCAGTAAACAAAAGGGGAAATTAAAACTCTGTAATTACATGTTCACAACCAATGATGTCTTCATGAAATGTAAACAAGTACATTTTCACACATGGAGGTAATGTACAAATGACTACAAAAAAAATATAATAATTTAACAAAATGCTTGGGAAGTACTGGGTTTGGCAAAGATGTCTGTACAATCCAAACTCACAAATGGGGACAGTGCAGGTGGGAGAGAGTCTTGGAGGAGGTAGTAGTGAACACCCCACTACTGAGTGAAAAATTTTCAGGACTGTTTCTTTTCTGTGTTGATCTTTCCACTGATAATATCTAAATTTACCTATTTTAACTTGACTATTTTTGTCATTTAATTTTGAACTACATTTTTATCGGCAAATTTTAATTTGTAGATATGCAAAAAGGACAGCCATCTCTAGAAATGAACTATTTTACAGAAGTGATATGTAGTAGACCAGAGTTTTGATGTATGTCCTCGGATAAGCCCCATTCCTGTGCAATACTTAATTTTAAAGAAAGCAAGCCTGTGTCAGTTTTGGTTGTGCCCATTGACCACATAACTGTATACACAGTAAGTCAATCAGATGTGCAGTGCATGGTGTTACTCCTCTGATAACCGCAGTCAAAGGAAAACTGGAATTTCACTGTGTGCTCCTGGCAGGCAGGGGCAACCAAGCCCATTATCACATTTGCTGAGGTAGTTGAATTAATGATCACTGAATATTTAATAAATACCACAGATATATTAAAGGTCCCTTCCAACTGTAAGGATTCTATGATTCTATGATACATAATATTCATGCTGCATTGATATCCCAGGCTGCACAGCCTGCTGTAACATTTTTCTAGCATTGAGGTGAGCTGATCAAGGAAGTGGTAGAGTCCCCATCCCTGCAGGTATTTAAGAAATATGTTGGACATGGCACTAAGGGACATGATTTTATGATAAGACTCAATGGGTCAGGTTGATGTTTGCACTGGATGGTGTTGAAGGTGTTTTCCAACTTAGATGACTTTGTGATCTATGACTCAGCCCACAGATGAGGACTGTGACAAAGGGGCATGTGGCTTTACTTCCAGCCCCATACCTTCCTTCTCCTTGCCTGCCTTTCCTTGACAGGTCTTCTTGCTTTGTTCTGATGCAGTGTTGTAGTCTAGCTGAAAGGCGTCTCCCTTCAGTGATAACAGTAAGTATTTAAAAGCTATCTAAATTTGATATACAGTTGTTCAAGGATAACTACTGGAGAGTGACAAAGAAGGACTACAAACATGGTGAAGGATCTACAGGGGAAAACGTAATGGCAAAGGTCCCTTAGTTTGTTCAGCCTGGAAAAGAGGAAACTGAGGGGAGACCTCATGGCAGCCTATGGCGTCCTCACAGGGAAGCAGAAGGGCAGGTGATAATCTCCTCTCTCTGGTGATCAGTGATAGAACTCAAGGGGATGGCATGAAGCTGTGACAGGATAGATTCATACTGGATATCAGGAAAACGTTCTTCATGAGAGGGTGGTCAGGCACTGGAACAAGATCCTCAGGGCTGTGGTCATGGTACTGAGCTTACCAGAGGTCAAGAAGCATCTGGACAACGCTCTCAGATGTATGGTCTAATTTTTGGGTGGTGCTGTGGAGAGCCAGGAGTTGGACTCAGTGATCCAACAGTGATCCAAGACCCAAGGGACATAGGTCCCTTCCAATTTGGGATATTCTATGATTCTATGAACTCCAATTTATTGTACTTTTATTAGCTTCTATCTGTATATATTGCTAATCTGTTGTTTCTTTCAAACCACCATTTCTTCGGGAAATCCTTTAAAATATATGAGTTGAAGTTTCAAAAATTTTTTTTAGAATGATGATAGAATCACAGAATGACCTGGGTTGAAAAGAACCACAATGCTCATCCAGTTTCAAGCCCCCTGCTGTGTGCAGGGTCGCCAACTACCAGACCAGGCTGCCCAGAGCCACATCCAGCCTGGCCTTGAATGCCTCCAGGGATGGGGCATCCACAGCCTCCTTGGGCAACCTGTTCCAGTGCAGCACCACCCTCTGTGTGAAAAACTTCCTCCTAATATCTACAGAATCACAGAATGGCCTGAAAAGGACCTTTTTTTTTTTTTGTTTGTTTCTCTCTAAAAAGAACATGTTTAGCACAACTTCTTTTCTTTGTAACCTATTTCCACATTTCAAGAACTCGAACAGCCACCATAAGCCAGGTACTGTAATATCTGCTCTACACCAACATCATTCTGAGCGCTGTTACACTGCATTGCTGGCTGCCCCTTCCTCCAGCACAATGATGGGAGGCCAAGGCCTGGGACAGGGCAGAGTAGGGACGGAAAGGTTCACTTGAGATCCTCAGCCCTTGGGTGCTAAAAACGAGCAGCGTTTCAGATATTATTGAATTCTTAGATATTAGACATGATATTACAGGACGAAATGCCGTCAGTGGATTTCAGAACAGGGTGCCCGGTCCGTCAGGGCCCTGCCTCAGGGAGGACACCCTGCCCTGCACAAAGATGGCCGCCCCGCTCCAAGATGGTCGCCCCTGCGGCATCCGCCTGACCTTTTGCCCTCACCTATGACGGCCACCAAGCTGCGGGCGACGTGCCCAAAACAAAGATGGCCGCCACAGCCGGGAAGCGGCGGAGAGGGTGCCTGCCCTTACCAAAAATGGCGGCGGGCGGAGGGAGGCGTGGCTTGTGCCCGGAGAGCCGGGCCCGGGGGTGGGGCGGGGGCGCGCCCGGCGCCGAACCGGAAGTGCCGCGCTGCCTCCTCCAGCTGGTTGTCATTTCGTGCGGCGGCTCGGTGCTGAGGAGACGGGGCTCGGCAGCGGCCGGGCGGGGAGGAAGGAGGCACCGGCTGCGGCACCGAGGCAGGAAGCTGCGGCCGCTGGGGGGGGGGGGGGGGGGGGGGGGAGGGAAGGGAAGGAGAAAGGGGAAAAAAAAAGAAAAAAAAAATAGAGGCGAAACGAGGTGGCGGAGGCTCCGCGCGGAGGACTCGACGCGGCCGGGCTTGCCGGCTACCGCAACTTCTCCCGGTGGCACGCAGCCCTGCCCCCTCTCCCGGCGCTGTCTCCCGCGGAGCCTCCCCCTCCGTCGCCGCCCGGAGGCAGCGTCCCCGACCTCCCGCCCGGCCGCTGTACATGACGGGGAAGGCAGCCCGCCTGGAGCCGAGAGGACGCGCAGCACGGGAAGGACTGCGCCGAGGAACCGCCGCCGGACCCCGCGCCCCGGTTAGTCTGCCGGGCCTCCGTCCCGTCATCTCCGGGCGATTTGGGAGAACCGGTTAAACGCCTTCCATGGGGGAGAGAGGAGCCCGGCCCCCCGCCGCCTGCACCTTCCCCTCCCTGCCGGAGGCTGCTCCTCTCCTGAGGTAAAAAAAAAAAAAAGAAAGAAAAAAAGAAAGAAAAAGAAAAAACAGAAACAGAAAACAACCCCTCCCGCCTTTCCCGACAGACAGACGGACTCTCGCGGGGTGGGGGGATACCGCGGGGCACCGCAGCCGGGCCTGGGAGCGCAGCACCGCCCGCTGCTGCCGGCCGCGAGAAGAGCCGGCCCGGAGGGAGCCCACGGATCTGGGTGGAAGGAGCGAGCCCGGCACCGCGATCACCCTCCGGCAGCACAGAGAGCGAGAAAACCTTCTTCCCTTTCCTCCTGCGCAGCTCGCTTGTCCCCTCCCTTCCCTTTTCCCGAACGCTGAATGCTGATTTCTGAGATGAAAATCCTCTCCGGGCACCCAGGGCTCGTCTGAAGGACACGGAGATATCGGATCGCAAATAAGAAGTGAGTCTGGCGATCTCAGAAACCCAACCCAAAAGGAGCAGCATCGATAATCCACCCTTCTGCTCAACTCACTCCCCACCCAGCACACACAGAATACTAATTTCCTGAGATAAGATCTTACCCCTTTAAACGACACACACACACACACACATACGTGGTGTATATTATTTCTACACAGAATAGGTTAAACCCAGCAGCACAGTAAAAAGCCTCCTCTGCAACTCACCCCCCCTCCTCACCCCTCTGAGTGCTGAAATCCTGAGGTAAATTTTTTTTCTCTTATCCACAGCAAAGACTCTTTTTGAGCAGGACACAAATATATATTAGATTATAGAGATGTATTAAATTATTCCAGATTTAAATCTATTTTTTTGCTGCCAAGGGGTCGGGGGACCAGACGTCATTGTATATTTTTTTTTGCTCTTAACTCATTTATGGGCAAGTCAAGGCTGCTGAGGAGGAAGAAAACAGGATAGTTAGAATCTCTTTATCCTTATTCCCCAGAAGCTTTTTCTGTCATTGCTGTGCATTTCCTTTAGGAAAGAAAGGAAACCTCTTATTTTGTGAACCAAAGATTTATTTTTCCCTTTCTCCTGGCTGAAGGGAGGAAGCGGACACCAATTTACGCATTTAAATAGTTGAAGAGATCTATCTTTTGCAAAAAAAAAAAAAAAAAAAAAAAAA